TAACACAGGTAATTAACAGTAAGGAGAGAGTTCAGAGTATACCAGAAATGGACCAAGAATTTCAGTTTTCATGCAGGGCAGCAACGAGTCATAATGACTCAGCATGAACACGGTATGAATCGGTCTGAGTCGACCCAACTCACCAGGAACTCAGTACGAGTTACAAGAACCAGCAAAACTCAGTAATGAGTCAACCCGTAAATCACCAAAAACAACAGATCGTTAGGAGTCAAGAGCGAGTTACAATGATTTTCCAGAAAAAGATTTGAATAGAACACAGTATCGACTATTTACTGTAGATATCACAAATCTACACAAAGGTATTTCAGTACTAGACAGAGATCCAACTGGAAAGTTGGATCAAAGATTAATCAGTGAAAAACTTTCAAGAAAAACTAATTTCAAAGAACCCTTTCACTATCATATTTGCATTTTCAAAGAACAAATACAGGCGTTTTGTTTAAAAACACAAACCCTAATACAATGAATTAAAAGAAGAAGGCTCTGATACCACTTGTTGGTATCAGGATCTTATTTTAAACTTTATTTTAAGAAATAACAGAACGAAAATCGCAGAAATGTAAAGCAAGAACACGAAGAATTTTTCGCCACAAAGGGCCCGAATGTTCGGTATCAAACCTACTCACCCATTGAGCATCCACAAGTGGATAGAACTCTAGATCCACTAAGAAATCACCAAGAAAGTTACAGTATGTACGAAAAAATCAAAGATTTCTTCGATATTCCTCTAGCCTCAACTCACATTACAAAACCACACCAAATCACTAAGAACATTTCTCACAATATACATCAAGTGTAGAATCTCAGAATCACTCAAATTTACAGGTCAAAAATTCACAAAGAATATACGGTATGATTAGAGAGAGGAAGAAGAGAAAACCTTAACACATAGAGTTCAATCGTCGTGGAAGTGTGTGGCCAAACAATCCTTTAAACGTTCAGTCAAAGAGCCACAAATCAACAGTCAGGAGATTGCCAAGTGTACAGCCACAATCAAGCTGCAATTAAAAGGAAGAGGCGTGTTTTAAGAAATAGCGTTTTCTTCATCCGGGTTCAATCCTTTTTCACACTAAAAACATAGGCCCAAACTTATGGTCCAAGAATATGAGGCAGCCCATTTCTTAACAAATAATTATCAAATAAGGCAGAAATGTACCTTGTAATGTAATCAACATGACTAATTTTTTCTATAGAATGTTCTTCAATAAACTCAATACTTTCAACCACATTTAAAACATAAGCAACTAATCAACTAATCATTATTTTATATTTCCTGTAATATTCCTAATTTCATATTGTATTTTTCTAACAAATAATAAGTTGTGAATTCATAGAATGAGTAAATTAAAAGTGAATTTGATCATTTTAAATTATAATTTAAGCTACTTACATGCAATAAAGATCCCTTTTGCAATTTTGTCAATGACAGCAAAATGTTCGCCCTGCTCTTCGATCTCGCCGCACGGCATCCACTAACTGGGGCGGGGATTAGGGCCGCTGGCTCCGACTCATTCAGTTGCCATCTATGCTTTTGATTTTAATTTTTTTTACTTCAAGTCTTATTTTTCTTCAAAAGTTTGCGAAATGTATCAAAATCTTTATTCTCTTTCATTGTGCGATGACAGGCAGAGGGATAAACAATGAGGTTACACTATTGTAAGTATCCATATAGTTTGGGTTTATCTTAACTCCGGTCTACATGTTTTCTCAAATTAAAAGTATAAATTTAAAGAGAAGTTTTGAAAATGTTCAGTGTCGCGCATGCACGCAGTGATGAAGCCACGTGGTGTCGTGTTGGGTTCATTGGCCCCCGGCAAAAATTTGGAATTTCATTTTTACTATTTTTAAACCTCTTTCCAAAATATAAGTTTTTATTTCTCCCCTCTTCTGAGCATTTTGCACTACTTTTTCCTTAAGTATCTAAATTTAAATTCACTTATTGATTTCTCATTCTTAATATCTAAGGTTTGTCAATTTCATCAAAATCTAACATATCTGTCACTGCTAAGTTCGTTGACGTTGACGACAAGCGCAAATATTTAGCCAACTGACCACCTCTCTTCTCATTTCTCAAGTCTCAACCCGCTCTCAAGTCTCATAGTGCATTCTTGGGACTTTTTTGTCAAATATTCTTTTAGCGAACTTTCAAATTTCAATAGTAAAAGCAAATATTCTTCATTATATTTCACCTACGAATAACTTTCATTGTGTTGCGTAGATAGAAAATGCTTTAGATTCGAATGTTTTGCCTTTAAGTTGTGGTACTAAATTAAGAATCTCAAACTAATCGGATGAGTTGGTGGGAATTTAGTTTTCCAATTATGTATAAAATTACAAAATTTCATTTGCAGTCATTGAACTTTCAACAAATATATGAATTACGTTAGCAAAATTTAATTTGTTTATATTTTTCAGGTTGAATTTCAATTTAATATTAATCAAGTCACTGAACTTCAATTCAATTTCAGGTTTCACCCAAAATTGATCAAAATAGTTTAATTGATAAAAATATTGTAATGGATCTTTTATGTAATCACTACGATATGTCGATTTACCACTACGACACATCAAAAAAAAAAAAAAAAAAAAAAAAAAAAAAAGTACACAATTCAACCCCTAAAACATAATTGACTTCGGCCAAAAAATCAAAAAAAACACTTAACTTTCCGCCTAAAAATTAATTTCCTTCCCAAGAATCTCAATAAATTGAAACCCAAATCAAACTTTTCCTTTTCTAGAATGTCACATATCGTATAGCTAACAACTAAGCAAATTGACTATATGTGACGGAATGTGACGAAATAGTGAATTTTAAAATTTAATCAAAGTTTAGGGACTCAATCGAAATAAATTAAAATTTAATTCTCCGTAACAGTCATGGCTGCATGTGATGGGACGTGTTGAAAAATAGATATAATAGTAATAATTGTCTTCTCTCTAATCGTTTAAATTTTCAAATGAGGTAGTTCAACAATAACTACTAAGTACAAAATAGATTTTCAACTCCCTCGGTACAATTTCCCGTAAAATAATATCAACAATTGGTATCAAGTTTATAGTGCTCAATTTTCTGAACTAAATTTAGAAACACATTCCTCTACCACTAAAAATGTAACAAAGATAAGTTGCACCACAAGAAAAGAAGTATCATTAAAGTCCCGCCATCTTGTAAAGCTATTTAATTGACAATTCTTTTTCACTTCATAACTTTCGAGAATTTGGTAAACTAGCTAGCTAGCTAGATAATAATCGACCTTCTTCAATGACTGTATTATAGTCGCATTGAGAATGGAGTTGGCTAGCTCTTCATTCAATTTAGAAAATAGAGGCATCATCTTCATTGTTGGAGTCATGTTGTTCAAGCTGCAAATTTCACACTATGAATCGGAAATGTGATTGATAATGGAAATTAAAGCGCAATATATCACTAAATAAAATGAAAAAAAGAAAAAATAGGAAACAGCATCAAGATTCAGGATGAGATTTGCAGCTTACTTGTTCAAGGTTTTGAAGATGTTGTCTAAAGCTTGACGCAATAGACCGATGTTCTCGCGTACTCTAGAAAAACTTTTGACAATGGGAGATCTCACACTTCTCTGATTTTCTCACGTACTTCCTATTTTAAGGCAGAAAACTTGCGGACTTATTACAAACCTAGCAATGCCTTAACCTTTTATCTTGGAAATATTAAAGAGAACAGCCCCTTAGTTTTTATTTCTCCCCTCTTCTGAGCATTGTGCACGACTTTTTCCTTAGGAATCTAAATTTGACTTCACTTTTTAATTTCTCATTCCTCTCCAATATCTAATGCTTGTCAATTTCATCAAAATCTCACATCTGTCACTGCTCAGCTCCTTGATGCCGACGACAAGCACAAATATTTAGCCCCCTGACCACCTCTCTTCTCATTTTTCAAGTCTCAACCTGCACTTACTATTACGTTGTTTAAAAACATTAAAAAATAAAATAAAAATAAAAATTCCAACTCACCTTTTGATCCTACTATAGAAAATATTGACTTTGCTACTCATGCACGGATACAGTATGATTGGCTATTTGGCTTAGCTTATTGCTTGAGAAAAAAAAAATTTGGTGGGACGATCATGCTTACGGTGCACTCTTGGGACTTTTATGTCAAATATTCTTTTAGCGAACTTTCTATAGTAAAAGCAAATATTCCTCGTTATTTGACCTAAGAATAACTTTCATTGCGTTGCAGCATTAGATTCGAATGTGTTTGACTTTAAGTTGTGGTGGTAAATTAAGAATCTAAAACAAATCGGATGAGTTGATGGGAATTTATTCCAGTTATGTTTAAAATTAAAAATTTCACATGCAGATATTGAACTTTCAACAAATATATGAATTAGGTTAGCAAATTTTAATTTGTTTATATTTTTCAGGTTGAATTTTAATATAATATTAATTAAGTCACTGAACTTCAATTCAATTTTAGATTTCATCCAAAATTGATCAAAATAGTTCAATTGATCAAAATATTGTAATGGATCTTTTATGTAATCACGACGGTATGTCAATTTACCACTACACCACGTCATTAAAAAAGGAGAAAAAAAAATTCGCACCATTGACATTTTAAATCTAAAGACATTCTCATATGCCTCATTTTACTTTTTCATTTCTAGAATGTCGCATAGCAATGAATTACTAACAAGCAAATTGACTATATGTGACGGAATGTGACGAAGTAGTGAATTTTAAGATTTAATCAAAGTTTAGGGACCCAATTGAAATAAAGTAAAATTTAATTCTTCATAACAGTCATGGCTACACGTGACGGGACGTGTTGAAATATAAATATAATAAGTAATAATCGTCTTCTCTCTAATCGTTTAAATTTTTAAATGAGGTAGTACAACAATTAATGACTACTAAGTACAAAATAAATTTTTCAACTCCCTCGCCGTAAAATAATATCAACAATTGGTATAAAGTTTATAGTACTCAATTTTCTCAACTAAATTTAAAAACACATTCCTCTACCACTCAAAATGTAACAAAGATAAGTTGTACAACCAAACAAGAAAAGAAGTATCATTAGAGTCCCATCATCTTATGAAGCTATTTAATTGACAATTCTTTTACACTTTGTAACTTTTCGAGAATTCAGTAAACTAGCTAGCTAGATAATAATCGACCTTCTTCGATGACTGGATTATCGTCGCATCGAGAATGGAGTTGGCTAGCTCTTCATTCAATTTAGGAAGTGGAGGCATCATCTTCATTGTTGGAGTCATGTTGTTCAAGCTGCAAATTTCACACTATGAATAGAAAATGGGATTGATAATGGAAATCAAAGAACAATATATCACTAAATAAGATGAGAAAAAAACACAAAAAAATAGAAAATAACATCAAGATTCAGGATGAGATTTGCAGCTTACTTGTTCATGATTTTGAAGATGTTATCTCGAGCTTGACGCAGTAGACTGATGTTCTCATGTAACTGAAAAATAAAGGGAAGATAGAGAGAGATAGCATCAATTTACTTACATCTCAAGAAGCTTATATGCTGCAACAAGCTAATTGGCGAAATAACATCCTTGTAATGTTCCATAATCTAAAACATATAACACAAAAGAACGAAGTTCTAATCATATATTGTACGTTTCGACTAAACCTTAATCCCTAAATCCAAGAGCAATAACAAACAAGAGAAGAAGTTTTGAACGAAAAAGAAGTAGATTTATAGTTGTTCACCTTTTATATGAGAATTATATCCACACGCTGCTGCAGATTTTACACATACTCAAGAAGAAGAAGTTTTGACAATGGGAGATCTCACACTTCTCTGATTTTCTCACGTACTTCCTATTTTAAGGTAGAAAACTTGGGGACTTATTACAATTTACAAACATAGCAATACCCTATATCCCTATATTAAAAAAAGGTTGATCCACGGCCTCTGGGATAAGAAAACAGTATAATTAGGCTCCACGCCAACATTAAAGAGACCATATTATCTGAAGACATAGATTTGTTTTCTATTCTTGTATAAATTTGACACAAGTGTTAAAATGAATATACAGATGCTTCACCTGATGAGTGTTAAAATTTGCAGATATCTGTTCGAAAGCCCAAATGTTCTCCTGAAGAAGTAGTCGAGTTACACCATCAATGCCTACAAAGAATGAAAGTCAGTCTTGAGCAAGCATAAATTACGTGATCTCGCTATTATCGATAAAGTTTATCATCTGTTCTCCAGAGTTTCTGAGACTCAACGGCCACTCCTTTCCCAATAATGAAGGAAATAAAACCCCGTGATTCAACAAGAAGAAAGGAAACTACGCGCAAGGATAGTAGAAGAACTTCGCATTTAAAAATTAGTTCATCAAGAAATTTGTGTACAGTCATTCAGATAATATTTCATATCGAAAGGAGAAAAAAAAATTAAAACCATAGAATTTTATTTTTACTGACCAAATCAAAAAACTTGGACGTATCAGAAAATATGACTCACCATTATACAAGATGCTATCCCCATTGTTATTGTTAATCATTCCTGAAGCATGAAGTAAACTCGGCTGCTCCCCCAGAAGAGATGGCTTTGCTAGAGGATCGACGAACTTATCCTGAGAAAGTAACTTAACATTTCCAGAGCTTGGAGTCCACAGAAGTGCATGTTTGATAGTAGGTATCGAAGTATTGAACATGACAGAATCGTATAATGAATAAGATTTTAATGTATTTTACTTCATTGATAATCTTCGTTACTATTCACTCCTCGATAACAAATGTCATTTGTAAAAAGTACACAAGCAGAAACTAGCCTTCAAACATTCTAACATGCGACACATAACCATAAATGCTTAAACTTGATGAAACATATTCCGGTACTAAAGTATATCAGAATTTTTATTCGAACCCTTCATACACATAATAGGAAAAATCAGATTTCGAGATGTCCATAACTCAATATACCACATTTAAAATTTGAATCTGTAGTAATTTTTTTAAGAATCAACGACTGGAATGAAACACATTATTCAATTCTTGTATAGAACATATTTAAAAGTCCACCTACAAAACATATATTTATGCACTTTTCCCTGAGAAATAGGTGGTTCCCTACCTGAATTGGAAGGAAGGCACCACTATCCAATTATTTTAAATATGCACGATTTATTACTTAATTCGATTCTGCACATAACAACAACTGGAGAACATTTGATTTAAATATGTTCGTTAGTATTGACTCTTAGAGATCTTTAGTCTTAGCATAAAAATCGACATAAATTTGGAACCACATCTCTTCTCATGAAGACAAGCACCTTACTGTTTCAGCACACGTATGTTCGTTTTCTTAGCATGAATTGTTGTTCAATGACTTTTTCAGAAAAAAATTGTTTTTCTTCATCTGAATCCGAAATATTCAACTTATAACTTGCAGATTGATAATCGTTGAGATACTTTACAGTATATTGGGTCTATTTGGATACAAATCTTTATTCATAATGAAGAACACACAAAAACTACACTCACACTGCACAAGCAAACACAAAAACAGAGAAGATAAACGTGTAAGTACTAGAAATGAAGATAGAGTAATTTATTAACTATTTACCTTTTTATCTTTACTTTTCCTTGTGGCATTAAAATCTTCCTTCCTTCTCTTGCTAATTTCTTTCTTCTGCAGTTAATCATGTAAAATAATTAGTCTGTAGACCTTATTGCTTCGATCGATAAACTGGGCACCAAACTGAAAATGCAAATGATAAAACATCCCAGCATCACAAATAAGCTTAGCTCGACCATGCAGAAATTGAATGGAACACAGTTATGCCAGTTTCAGCGGACGAACAATGGAAATATGGTTGAATACAGATTGAATAACTCAAGACAATTTAGCTATAAGAATGATGAGAAAACTCACAGTCATCCATCGGCAGCGTAATGCCACATCACGGACTGTCTTATTTTTCAGCTGCACTGCAATCTTTGCATAGCGGATAATGTTCGACTCAGAAGCATAACTGCAGTGCGTTACATAGTTGCAGTATCAGATGGGTGTCATGCATAAAATGAAACATCACCATTATATAGATCAGTCCAGAATGAAAGATAGCAAAGAGGACATCAATGTTATGTGATTACTAATATAACATATTAGAATCATGCTGACAAATAAACTCAGGATGGGTTGTGAGTTTGATGAGGTCATCTACAAAGAATTTGATCGACTACCTATGCTCTACACTATGTCAGCCAATTTTTTCTCTTTTGATCAAACAGAACACAATTATCAGCCCCATTACCCTGTGGGACATAAGTATTAATGTGAAAGATACGTATACAACAGAAGAGTTCGTCTGTCTCTCATCACCAAATTGAAAATAGTATATTCATAACACAAGTCTATACACATAACTGATATATAAAGATACAGAGACAGAGCTAAAGAAAGAATTTGGATCTAACGGCACCCACCCCCTTTATATATAATTGAAAATTGTATAACCCTTATCAACGTAATGGGAAGTTATCTCTCTTTCACACCAGAAACATTGAATTTTCAATCGTCCCGACTTCTGAAGGCGATTTTAAAAACGTCTTCAGGTAAAAAAATCTTATAATTTCGAAATTTGTCGATAAACCAATCATCTATAACAGAAGATTCTACTAGATATACATGCAAAGTTCGGTGATTTAACGTGCAAGCCTAGTGTACATTATGTGTCAGATAAATGATTTCAATGTTAACAAATAAAACTAAAATCAGTAAAGAAAAATTGCAACATGATCAAAATTGGCCAAATGACTAAAAAATTCATGAGCTCTAATGCCAAAGCACTCTGCATGCAAGCCGACTGAGTGGTAAATGACTGTGGGAGTACAAACCACAACAGACATAAGAGAATAGGTCCTTAATTACTAAAAAGCTAAGAACAAGTGAAGCCAAAATGTTATCTCTCTCGACTTTCATAAATTTCTTTGTCAACCATAATTCGACATCTTCCTCCAACCCCTGCCCTTCTTTTCTTAAAAAGAAAAAAGGAAGGAAAAACTGGGAATGGGAAGAAAGAAGAATTCTCAGGCATTTAAATTGCATTCAAATTAATATTCAAACTAGTACAAGATTTGATGTACCCCTGAATTACAAGCCTAGAAGGTAACACAGTAGGTTGAATGGGGATATTAGAAACCACAGTGAGATAAATTTGGGATTTCCAAGGTATGGGAAGCTACAGAAGAAAGACTACCTTAATACTAGTATAACAAAATCTATAAAGAGGTTAAGTTAAACAAAGAAGCTGGGTCATTTTTGGCAAAGAAACTGAACACCAGTCACCAAAGTCATCGGACCCAGGCTCACTCCCAGCCCACCAACAAACAAATTCTCCATTAAACTCCAGCCCAGGAAAGTGATTCTCGGCCATATAGACACCGGAGGTCTAGACGATGATTGTTCATTTTCAGCCATTGGATTTTGCTCAGATTTGACTTTTTGGTATGAAAATTAAGATTTTATTTCCCGTATTTTGAATACACTGAAAACATAAAAAATATGTTTCGAATTTATGTTATAAATTTAATCTTGTTTTCAAAATGCATTTTCAAAAATACCAAACCAAACAAATTTTGAGCGTTGTACAACAGCTTGCTGTTGCAATTGCTTTGTATAGAACGATGAAAAATCATCACTAAAGGAAAAGCATTACAGTCTAAGTATCAAGACAGATGCATTTACAACTTAAAGTTACTAACTTAATCTTCAACAGGCAGAATCTTCCCCATCACAACCCGGCAGCTAACCACGTAAAATCCAAGCAGCAACGGACATATCTTCTTCTCTTTCTTATCTTCTTTTTTCCTCCTTTTCTGGATTAATCAGCAGCAGCTGCACTACCCGAATCAGAGTCCCAAACATCAACATAATCTGAAGTCATATCTCTTACACCAGAGGAAGTGACTTTTCGATCGCCCTGACTTCTGAAGGTGATATTAAGAACGTCCTTATAATTTTGAAATTTACTGATAAACCAATAATCGTGAATAGAAAATTCTTCCAGTTATACATGCAAAGTTCATTGATTAGCCGTGCAAGACTGGTGCACATTATGTATCAGATAAAGAGAAAGGTCTCCACATAATTAAGATTGGCCAAACGACTAAAATCTCATGACCTCTAATGCCAAAGCACTCTGCCTGCAAGCCGATGAGTGAAAAATAACTGCAGGAGTGCAAACCACATCAGATACAAGAAGATAGGTCCTAAATAATTACTAAACAGCTAAGAACGTGTGAAGTCAAAATTTTATATCCCGAGTTTCATTAATATCCTTATCGATCATAATTCAACACCTCTTCCCCCAACCCAGCGTTTCCTACTTTCTTGAAAGGAAAACCCTGGAATGCGGACAAACAACTTGAATTGGTCAATGTTTGAGCCTCATTCTTTAAAAACTCATTTTTTTCCCCTCATATTAATTTCCAACCAATTAAATAATTTTAAACGTAAACCCAAAAAATTTTCTATTTTTTAACTACACATTCTCCAAAAACAAATTACTATTACGAAATCTATTTTTCATATGCATTTCTTCATGTAAACATAGTTAAATTACTTAACTTTAATCTATACGATTATGAAACAAATGATTGCAAGAAGATGAGAATAATCACTTCAAAATAGATTATTAAAGGAAAAAAGTCCATTGAAAAAGTAGTAAAAATCAACCAAGAAAATGACACGGAATTCCGCAAGAATAAGCAAACAAATGCACAAACCAATCAGAGAAAAGGGCTCCTGACTAGGACGACAACAGAAATTTTAAAGTGTAAAAAAGCAAAGTTAAATTAAGGGAAAAATTTAAACTAATCACATCATTCAAAATAAACAAAAAAAAATGCAGATTGCGTGTCAGTTCGTGTGCATGCTTTCATGAGCAAGAACCCAAAAAGAAAAGTCTGAATAACTTAAATTACATTGATCAATTCTTTAATTCTTCACAAAGATCAGGAAAGCAGAAGAAAATCAACCTATGAAAAAACTAAAAGAAAATCAAACTAATTGATAGTTAAAAGCACGAAACCATCAAGAATTCACAAAATCCAACAAGATTCTAATATCCCAGAAGTAATATTCATAGAAAATAGAGAGAATTCACACACGCACACGCACACNATTAGTCTGTAGACCTTATTGCTTCGATCGATAAACTGGGCACCAAACTGAAAATGCAAATGATAAAACATCCCAGCATCACACATAAGCTTAGCTCGACCATGCAGAAATTGAATGGAACACAGTTATACCAGTTTCAGCGGACGAACAATGCAAATATGGTTGAATACAGACTGAATAACTCAAGACAATTTAGCTATAAGAATGATGAGAAAACTCACAGTCATCCATCGGCAGCGTAATGCCACATCACGGACTGTCTTATTTTTCAGCTGCACTGCAATCTTTGCATAGCGGATAATGTTCGACTCAGAAGCATAACTGCAGTGCGTTACATAGTTGCAGTATCAGATGGGTGTCATGCATAAAATGAAACATCACCATTATATAGATCAGTCCAGAATGAAAGATAGCAAAGAGGACATCAATGTTATGTGATTACTAATATAACATATTAGAATCATGCTGACAAATAAACTCAGGATGGGTTGTGAGTTTGATGAGGTCATCTACAAAGAATTTGATCAACATATGCTCTACACTATGTCAGCCAATTTTTTTCTCTTTTGATCAAGCAGAACACAATTATCAGCCCCATTACCCTGTGGGACATAAGTATTAATGTGAAAGATACGTACAAAACAGAAGAGTTCGTCTGTCTCTCATCACCAAATTGAAAATAGTATATTCATAACACAAGTCTATACACATAACTGATATATAAAGATACAGAGACAGAGCTAAAGAAAGAATTTGGATCTAACGGCACACACCCGGCCACCCCCTTTATATATAATTGAAAATTGTATAACCCTTACCAATGTAATGGGAAGTTATCTCTCTTTCACACCAGAAACATTGAATTTTCAATCGTCCCGACTTCTGAAGGCGATTTTAAAAACGTCTTCAGGTAAAAAAATCTTATAATTTCGAAATTTGTCGATAAACCAATCATCTATAACAGAAGATTCTACTAGATATACATGCAAAGTTCGGTGATTTAACGTGCAAGCCTAGTGTACATTATGTGTCAGATAAATGATTTCAATGTTAACAAATAAAACTAAAATCAGTAAAGAAAAATTGCAACATGATCAAAATTGGCCAAATGACTAAAAAATTCATGAGCTCTAATGCCAAAGCACTCTGCATGCAAGCCGACTGAGTGGTAAATGACTGTGGGAGTACAAACCACAACAGACATAAGAGAATAGGTCCTTAATTACTAAAAAGCTAAGAACAAGTGAAGCCAAAATGTTATCTCTCTCGACTTTCATAAATTTCTTTGTCAACCATAATTCGACATCTTCCTCCAACCCCTGCCCTTCTTTTCTTAAAAAGAAAAAAGGAAGGAAAAACTGGGAATGGGAAGAAAGAAGAATTCTCAGGCATTTAAATTGCATTCAAATTAATATTCAAACTAGTACAAGATTTGATGTACCCCTGAATTACAAGCCTAGAAGGTAACACAGTAGGTTGAATGGGGATATTAGAAACCACAGTGAGATAAATTTGGGATTTCCAAGGTATGGGAAGCTACAGAAGAAAGACTACCTTAATACTAGTATAACAAAATCTATAAAGAGGTTAAGTTAAACAAAGAAGCTGGGTCATTTTTGGCAAAGAAACTGAACACCAGTCACCAAAGTCATCGGACCCAGGCTCACTCCCAGCCCACCAACAAACAAATTCTCCATTAAACTCCAGCCCAGGAAAGTGATTCTCGGCCATATAGACACCGGAGGTCTAGACGATGATTGTTCATTTTCAGCCATTGGATTTTGCTCAGATTTGACTTTTTGGTATGAAAATTAAGATTTTATTTCCCGTATTTTGAATACACTGAAAACATAAAAAATATGTTTCGAATTTATGTTATAAATTTAATCTTGTTTTCAAAATGCATTTTCAAAAATACCAAACCAAACAAATTTTGAGCGTTGTACAACAGCTTGCTGTTGCAATTGCTTTGTATAGAACGATGAAAAATCATCACTAAAGGAAAAGCATTACAGTCTAAGTATCAAGACAGATGCATTTACAACTTAAAGTTACTAACTTAATCTTCAACAGGCAGAATCTTCCCCATCACAACCCGGCAGCTAACCACGTAAAATCCAAGCAGCAACGGACATATCTTCTTCTCTTTCTTATCTTCTTTTTTCCTCCTTTTCTGGATTAATCAGCAGCAGCTGCACTACCCGAATCAGAGTCCCAAACATCAACATAATCTGAAGTCATATCTCTTACACCAGAGGAAGTGACTTTTCGATCGCCCTGACTTCTGAAGGTGATATTAAGAACGTCCTTATAATTTTGAAATTTACTGATAAACCAATAATCGTGAATAGAAAATTCTTCCAGTTATACATGCAAAGTTCATTGATTAGCCGTGCAAGACTGGTGCACATTATGTATCAGATAAAGAGAAAGGTCTCCACATAATTAAGATTGGCCAAACGACTAAAATCTCATGACCTCTAATGCCAAAGCACTCTGCCTGCAAGCCGATGAGTGAAAAATAACTGCAGGAGTGCAAACCACATCAGATACAAGAAGATAGGTCCTAAATAATTACTAAACAGCTAAGAACGTGTGAAGTCAAAATTTTATATCCCGAGTTTCATTAATATCCTTATCGATCATAATTCAACACCTCTTCCCCCAACCCAGCGTTTCCTACTTTCTTGAAAGGAAAACCCTGGAATGCGGACAAACAACTTGAATTGGTCAATGTTTGAGCCTCATTCTTTAAAAACTCATTTTTTTCCCCTCATATTAATTTCCAACCAATTAAATAATTTTAAACGTAAACCCAAAAAATTTTCTATTTTTTAACTACACATTCTCCAAAAACAAATTACTATTACGAAATCTATTTTTCATATGCATTTCTTCATGTAAACATAGTTAAATTACTTAACTTTAATCTATACGATTATGAAACAAATGATTGCAAGAAGATGAGAATAATCACTTCAAAATAGATTATTAAAGGAAAAAAGTCCATTGAAAAAGTAGTAAAAATCAACCAAGAAAATGACACGGAATTCCGCAAGAATAAGCAAACAAATGCACAAACCAATCAGAGAAAAGGGCTCCTGACTAGGACGACAACAGAAATTTTAAAGTGTAAAAAAGCAAAGTTAAATTAAGGGAAAAATTTAAACTAATCACATCATTCAAAATAAACAAAAAAAAATGCAGATTGCGTGTCAGTTCGTGTGCATGCTTTCATGAGCAAGAACCCAAAAAGAAAAGTCTGAATAACTTAAATTACATTGATCAATTCTTTAATTCTTCACAAAGATCAGGAAAGCAGAAGAAAATCAACCTATGAAAAAACTAAAAGAAAATCAAACTAATTGATAGTTAAAAGCACGAAACCATCAAGAATTCACAAAATCCAACAAGATTCTAATATCCCAGAAGTAATATTCATAGAAAATAGAGAGAATTCACACACGCACACGCACACGCACACACGTATGTATGTACATATATGACATTCGCTCACTTGGCAAGTCCTTCTTCCAGAGTAGCTTGATCTTCCGGTGTCCAGTCCATAGAGATTGTCTGTTGGTGCTGAAACGTGGGGATGGCACCCTCCAATCCATGCACAGAATTTCCATTGTAAGAAGTTGAACCATGGCTCTGTTGAGACCCATTTTTTTGTGTTCCAATCATGTTAGCCATTAGACACGCACATGCACAAACAAATATGAAAAAAATATATATTGGGAAGGGAGCCTGCAAATCTAGGAGTTCAAGAAAGGGGAAAAAATACAAGAAAATTGAGTCCCTTTGAAGAGAAACCGAGGTTTAAGGGATTGGGGTGAGAGTTAAAACTCAAAGATTCTTTAAGCTGAAATTGAGGGATTGAAGAGGGGAAAGTAAGGGGAATCTCAAATGCACGTAGGAGGGGCAAGAAAGGGTGGCTATGTACAAATACAAATGTAAGCAAACTTTTGGAGTGCCAATATATATTCTATGGTATCAAAAAAAACTTTACACCGAACAATTATATATTCACACGAGATAAGATAATCCATTTAAATCACGATAATTAAGACGATATATCATTCAAATTACGACAATTCAAATGTCGTGTCAATCTCTCTTACTCACCCATGTTTGAGGTGTTGTATTTTGAGTGGTTCGAACACGTGGTAGAATTGCGAATTTAAATTACAACATCTAGGATTTTGAATCATTGGGATCACGGCAACTTAAACACTAGATAGGTCAACTCACCCTCTCTTACCCATCTAGTATTCGAGGTGTTCATGTTTTGAGTGGTTCAAAATCCCAACCGTCATGATTTAGTTAAATAATCTTATCATGTGTGTATATAGAATGCTTATTTATGTGCGTGGATTTATTACATGGGATTTTATTTTTGAATTATGCTAATCATACATTATTGGATGACATTATGTAATGTGTAAAAAATTGTGCGGTTGATTTGAATGAGCGTTGTTAAAACAAATGAAAGTGTTATATATACATAATTGTTTACATAATGGTATCCATAATTGCACGTGACACTAGGTTCAACTTTTAATTCAAATTTCACACTTGCACATCAACAATTGGATGATTGTCACATCACATTATGAATATCATTACATGCAATAATTATGTACAAATAAAATGTTCTTTCGAAGGAAAAGGAAAGATTTTCTTTTGGTAAAGAGAGTGGAGGCTGACGCACTGACATCATCTCTTCTTCTCCTTTCTTTCATAAAGAAATTTTGGAGCTTCTTTTTTATTATTGGATGGAAGAAAGGTCTTTTCTTTTCCTTTTTTTTTTTTTTTTATAACTTTAAAGTATGCTACAATGACCTTTAAATTTTTTGTGGTAGATTTTATTATAAATTTGTTTTCCATTTTTAATATTAAGAACATTCGATTGAGTGGAATCCCATTTTTGGACTCAATTTGACTCGAGAATTTAATCAACCCGAATGAATTGAAATCCGATATAAACTTTACAAGACGACATAGAGGAGAGTTTGACCATGAAAACTGAATGGGGTGGTCCATTCTTCTACTAGGCTCATGTCTTATACCAAAAAGTGTAACAAAGATAAAGAAGAATGTCCAGATAATTACTTAGGTGGAATAAAAAAAGGTACTATGAGCATATATAAATGAAAGGTTGGGAGTCATTTGAAGGTTTGATAATTGTTCTTTCCAAGATTTGTGGATATGTATCGTTCTTGAATAAAGTAAGTTGTTACGTTTTAAGAAATTTCAATAAACGCCTACTTCTATGAAGTGAATCCACATATTTTTATCGATTCAAGCAATCTTGATTGTTTGAAGTTTCTGAAAGTAGTTAATTTATCCGACTTCAGTGATTCGCTTGATTACTTGACATGATGTGTAACGTCTTTAAAATCAAAATACTAAAAAGTAAAAACTTAAAAGGGCCATAGGTTGAATAAATAATTCAATTTTCCCTCTTCAAAATTTGTACCCTATTTTATATGTTAGTTACCACTATTTACAAGAAACAGAGGATGTTGGTGATTAAATTCCTTTGTGAAAATGGGTTAGCATTGAAACATAGAAAAATATATTTATCTCACATGAAATACATATTTCTACTTTTGAACATTTTTTAATGACTTATTTGAACCACGAATACCCAAAAAAAGGTGTTTGGCAAGCACAATACACCACATCGACAAGATACAACCCTTCTTTCCCCTGAATATTTTCAATTTAGACGTAGCATACATCTGTAATCACCTGTACAACGTCAAAAACACCGACAAACCATATCCCAAAATGAAGACAATTGTTATTTAGCAATTTAATTTACAAATATTCATCGACCGTAAAGGACAGTAGGGAGAAAATGGTCTTTTCGACCCCCGAACACAATTGGGAGTGCAAGCTGATCAAAGGATGCTAATTCAACATATTAACATACAAATATTGTTATATTTATTATGTTCAATCCTAATACAAATAAGTTAGTAGATCTTTGGTGTATAGTACTTGACTATAACAAATGAGATTTTACAGTGCTACCAAACAATTCCTATCTTACAAACTAGAATAATCCCACCACTAAGTACAAGTAGGATACTCGTTTAAGCCAATAAATGGGCAAGAGCAACAAGGAAAGAAGGATATGAAGTTGATGATATCACCATTTGAATAAAAGCACTCATCATATAATGCAAAAATATAATTATCTAATACTACCTAGTTCGTTGTATCATGACTATTGCTAAAACTTTCTTGAAGAAAATCCCGTTTGTAAAACATTTTATTGCTGTATTATAACTTCTGATATTTTCAAAATTGTCGGTACATGAATAATTCTCCAAATACATGAACCGCGAAAACTTCTGTACTACCCTAACCTGTATGTAGTGTTCTTGTGCAGATTGTGCAAGGTAAAGCAAACGTTCCACGTTGCAGTCCTGAGGAAAAAAGGAAAAGCATTAATCGCAGAATTTGTAATGCTTCATAATTAACTAAAGATTAAAGAAGTGACATTATAAGAAATGGCACGAGAAACATGAGTAGTCTGTTGTGATGGTATTATTAAAAACAACAAAATTTATACCCACATTAAGCTCCAAATCATCTTTCCAACTAGTAAAAATAAGTAGCATAACAGAACAAGCCAACAATCATTAAAAGCCTTCATTTATTGTTCACATTAAGATCTGGCCAGTTTCTATGCCTAATATATTCCATACTTGAAGGTGATTTTATTTCAGAAAAGGGAGAAAATGGCAAGGAAGAAATTTTAACAAGTATTTGACACCTTCCACACTGAGTGCATATTCAACTATGATTTCAACCTTTATACGGCTCAAATCAAACTCCCATCCTCAATTAGAACCAGAGAAAGCTATGAAATTTGATAAAGAAAATGTCATGAAAATCATTTTGATATCTGATAAATGGATAACATTAATATTTTAATGTCATGAAACAAATGTTCTCAAGGCGATCTTAAACCTTCAGATTCATTTTACCAATTCTCAGGCACGTCCACGCCTATACCTAGTCACACTTGTATTGCAGATTTGTGATGTAGATGAAGACAATCATATGATCCAGTCTACTAAGATGTTTCTAATAGATGAAATACCATGTCAAACTACAGTGCTTTCAATGTCTGCAACTAAATTGATGCCATTTCTCACTGGGGATGAAGAAAATACAAGTTGAAATGGACCAATAACCAACGTGAAAATTTCATAAATATAAGGATGATGAACTAGCATAATTAGCATATCAGTACTACTAAAAAAGCGATTAGAAGCCAAAGTGGATATTCTTAATATTTGAATAGAAAATAGAAGATATTGGTACCTTATGAGAGGCTGACTATATTTTGGGGATACAAATAGATGTATGAACCATCAGATGCCATGAAAACTTAGCATTGAATTACTCCAAACTAGATGTCGGTTATAAGAAAACTGTTCAACTCACAAATTGAAAACTTGCATAATATCAGCATTCTGTCCCACGGCACAGCCTATCTCATCTAGTTATATGGCGTAGGCCAAAATTTAATTGCCGTTCTGAGCTGGGGTCCTACTCTTTATCATCTGTTCCAAACACCAAAAATCTTTATAGTACAATGAAAAATAAGGAGGAAGAAATTTCATTAAATTTAATTTCTTAGTATTTTATATTTTACACAATGAATGCAATACACCAATCCCACATATAGGAATAAGATTAAAATAAGCCACGGGTCCTTGAACACGTTGCAATACTTATAAACGAAAAGCTAGACACACAAATGCAAGAAGAAGCCACGGAAATGCAAGAATAAAAATCTTCACTGTTCAATTTCTATGACCCGCGCACAAGAAAGAACTGCAGTGTACCATCACTACTAAATCAAGCAGCAACAATAGAGAGAGAACAGGAGAGCGAAAAAGAAATGCAAAATGGTTAGGCATAACAACCTTGTAAATGTACTTCTTTCGCAGTTTGATAGCACTACGAACACAGCTTTTGACTCTGATCTTTAACAAATTATCATTGAATATCTGTGGAATGATTGAAAAATAAAATAGCATGAGAGAGAGAGAGAGAGATCAATAAACTACAGATGCATTCTGGAGTCTGGGCAAATATAAAGCATGATCCCCTGTTCTTGGAGTAGCAAAAAAGGAAACAATAAAAGAAAACCTGTAGCATGAATAATGAGTTGAAAGAAAGGCTATGATTGCAGATATAACAAGACAGTATTGCTCATAATGAGGAAGAAATAATGAATAGAAAGAAATCTTGCAGGTGATGATAACAAGGACAACCCAGGTATAAATAAAGCAGCTCTATTTACTTAAAAGTCAGTGTTTAAAGAAACCTTCCAAGATCAAGAGCTAACAATTTACCAGAGGATTTTTGGTGCAGATCAATGATCTTGATACTCACTAAAGAATGATTTTTAATTTTGTAACAAAGAAAAAATAAAACTATATAACCTAAACACTTTTCTAGGTCTCACTGACTTTGACGTTGGAGAAACTAAGTTGATATTTTATCATGAACACATGCATCAATCTAGGTGCAAAAATAAAATACCATGCCTGCGACAAATGAGATATCAACTACTACTGATTACAGAAGGCAATTCATTCCTGATTTAGGTACATTGCCCAATTTCCAAATATAACTTAGGAGTTGCAATAATCAATTTTCTTTTACTTCAAGATACTGCCTAGAAGTATTATATTCCATAATTAAGCATAAAACAGCCAATTAAAATTTAATGTTAACCCATATCATCCACATATCTGTGAAATTGTGCATGAAAGAATATTAAAAGCAGGTTCTGCGGAGAACAAAATGGGTATTACAATTTAATTGATACAAGAAAGAAGAAATCAAGAGTCAAAATTGGCATACATTTCACCAACTATAATAATAAAGCACACTGGATGACTACTTAACAGAATAGAGAACTAAATATAATCCACCTGCCTTTATTAGGTCATCAATTGAACGAGTTTCCTTAGTAATTTTTTGTCGGTTCATAATAAGAATGGCTGCTACACAAAAAACAGGTAATTCATCATCACCATTCCTTGATGATATAACTGTACGAATTTGTAGACGGTCATTCCTTGACCAGAAATTCTTTGTCAAGCCACAAAACGGTCTAGCCGATGCTGATGCTATTCCACTGTTGTCAGAGATGGAGCGTTCTGCAGATTTATGTTTCGATGGACAACCACTATTATTGTCCAAGCTTTCTTCTCCTGATTCAGCCTCTGTTTCCTTTGGTAATAGTATAAGCAATAATTCTGGGCAAATTTCATCCAGGTCACAAGCTAAGGATTCATCGAAATCAGCAGCCCATATCATCTACAAAGTATTAAAATAGAAAAGTATAGTGAGTGCCATCTTTTCAAGCATATTACTTCATCAATTTTAAATAAATGCTACTTGGCTTATATTGGTCTTGAGAGCTAGTTAGGCCTCCCCATGTTTAAACTCCATTTATAACAGTTCTGGTAATAGGACCTAGTTTTGCATCTTCCATACCAGATAGCCCAACGATTTCAAGGAAATTAAGCCACCAATAATGGCCGTACAACTCAATCACATTCACATAACCATCATATTTTGTTATCTATTAAATTTTATTTATTTTTTATTTTTATTATTATTTTTTTTAATGACCATGGGTGTCCGAGCTAACTTACGTGCACCTCGACTAATTCCACGAAACCCTTAAACTTACAGTCGGGTACTTATCTCAGTGGCCTTGAGAAGACTTGAACAGATGACCATTGGGGAGCAAACGTAAGATTTGACCACTGAGATTATCTATTAAATAAATGGGAAAAACTTAACATTTTTTGGAATATATTGCAACTACAGCAGAGAACTGTTTGGGTTATGGTGCCCATGCATTTTCTTCCTGAAATATAGGCTGCATATCAAACGCTTCAATCATCAACCACAACCATTTAGTAGACATTGGAGCAATGCCAACTAACCATCAGGAGAAAAAGGAAAATATGGAAGATATCAAAACAAAAACAAGTTCCAATTTCATTCTGGCCAAACTGAAAATTCTTGGGTAGAAAAACTGAAAATGGTTATAAACTAACACCATTTATCCATCTCTCTAATTAGTGCTTTTTCCTAATAATACTGCAGCTACAACATTAGAAGGTTTTGTTGGGATATAAGTATTACTGGAACCAGGAAGATATGTAAAAAAGACACCAAGCTTGCTTGAATGATATTAGAGGTCAGGGAAGTGACAAGAAAGAGAAGATGGTAGCAATGTTTTCTTCAGGTGGTCTTTATGGTGGTCAAGAGCCACTAGAGGACAAGAGATGGTGGCACCATGAGTTAAGTATCAGTTATTAAAAATTATGTAAGGAAAATGCTGGTAGAAAATGGTATGGCCACAGTATAGGGACAGGGAAGTTGAACATAATTGGAGTTGAAGAACGTCAAAATGAGAATGGAAGCAGGCCTGAAGATTTAATAAAGCTGTTCACAAGATTTACATCAAGCTTGTTAGTAAGGTTATGGTATTATTGGAAAATGCTAACCATTTTCTTGGGCCATCTTTGAGCTTTTTAAAGCTGATCACGAGATTTACATCAAGCTTGTTAGTGAGGTTATGGTATTATTGGGAAAATGCTAACCATTTTCTTGAGCCATCTTTGAGCTTTCCTACAAAGAAAATATAAAAAAGAAGAGAGGATGGGTTATTCACTTTTCTTTTCATTTAATGGTCTGAAAGCTAATGCAGTAATAATTCTAAAGATTCCCCCGAGAAAAATTAAACTCTCCAATGTACCCGCAATACGTGGAAGAATCAACGTAATTCCATAGAGTCATTAGGTCTGAATATTACATGAAGAAAACATTTAGAACCTGTTTGACCCCCATTTTCAAAAACTCATTTTTTCTTTCAAACTCATTTTTAACTACAAATTTCACGAGACCAACAACTTTTATCTAATTCTAAAGATTCCCCCGAGAAAAATTAAACTCTCCAATGTACCCGCAATACGTGGAAGAATCAACGTAATTCCATAGAGTCATTAGGTCTGAATATTACATGAAGAAAACATTTAGAACTTGTTTGACCCCCATTTTCAAAAACTCATTTTTTCTTTCAAACTCATTTTTAACTACAAATTTCACGAGACCAACAACTTTTATCAACTTCTGGATCACATATTTTGTCAACTTTTATCAAAATCTACTAAAAATTTGACTTTTAGTTGAACTAAATAGGGGCTAAAACAAGCATGACTTTTTCTTCTGTATCTGAAGCTCCGAAAAGAAATAAATAAATAAAAATTACTTGCATGATTCTGAAACCAGAAGTGAGCAAATATGAATATATTGCGATCATCAGAACATTAATGCATCAATGTGATTAGTAGCAACCAATATCTATATCGACCTATTTGAGAGAGGAACACATGTATGTCATTTAAATCTTATCTTCAATATTACCATCGCACGTCAAGTATTTAATTGGATTATGGTCCTCTAGTCTTCTAGATTCATGTATTTGCATAATGGAATACTAACATATTCAACAGGAAAACGACTAGGTACAAACCTCCCACATACGAAGGGCATCACTGAAAGACAATTCTCGGCGGAAGAGTACAAGCAACATGCGGAAGGCAAAATGAAGGCTCTCAGCACCTATCTGGGACAAGTGAGAAAACATTTCCCTATCTGTAAGTTCTAATATGTGCCAGAGTGTCTGCAACTGTTTCATTACACCAGTTGGTCCTTCCATCTGAAAGTTTTCGCGCTGTAAAGCTGGAAAGTTAATACAGGTTAAAGGACAGTTCAACAAAAATCTTGAGATATAAATACCATTCGCCTTAGAAGCATCTCGAAGCACCAAAATGCATCAGCATTGTCCTCAAAAAGAACAACAAAGGGGGAAAGTAGATCACTCATGCCTACAAATTATACAGAAGATGATGTCAAAACCAAATAACTGTTCACCTAAATCCTTGTGCAGTTCCAATAATCACATGAAAGTTTCGATGAGGCACAACCTTGGCAATATCCTGTTGCAGGATCAACCCACGCATAGACAGCAAGAATATCTGACATACGAGCCAAATTTTTTTTGTCCTCGTAAAATTCGAGATGATTGTCTGTTCTAACTACATCAACAACTGGAAAACAAAAAAGTGATTTACACCCCAGTAAATGGTAATGAAAGAATTTTAGGCTGAATGGAAGGAGTGTTTGGTAAAAATTGATATGGAAACCAAGTTACATGTTTACCTATTTGGTGCAGTGTCCAAAGCCATTCAGACACTCTGTCTCCTTTGGCAGCCCCTCCACGAGATGTGATTGCATTATTGGCTGATATTTCAGGTGCATCTGATATTCTAAGCCTATTAAACATTTCTGATTCAAATCCCAGATTATTTGACGGCGAAAGTGATTCATGCACATCCGGGTGAATCATTTCACTTTCAGAGTTGGGAGGTGGTGAGTCATCATTAAATGGGGTACCATTTGACTCGACAACTAGATCTGCATTGCTGTCAATTTGAAAACTGTGCATATGCTCATCCCCAAATTTCAATTTACGTTGTGTCAAATGCGTATCATCACAAAACCTAGGTTCTTTTTGATTTTTGTCACTCTTTTCAAACAAATTTGTAAAAGGTAAAGTAGGGGAGTCCAAATAGCTTTCAGTTACATATTGTGATCCATCAGCTTCAAGCTCAATCGGAGACGTGCAGTTGTGAGAACCAGAAGAAGGTTCAAGACCAGAGTAATCATATGCTCCTTCCTTGCTTTCTCTTATACTTGCAAAATCATCAGAGTCACCAGAGCTTTGCCTTCTACATATATGTGATTTTTCTATACAGTTGTCGTCCAAAACACAGTTATTATTAACTACGTTGTTAGCATTGGCTTCAGGTATATGTCCACTTTGGTCTTCATTTTCCCTTATCCCATCATCTTTGGAACTCATTCTCATATCCATGACTTTAGAACCTACAACATAGGCAAGGGAACCAGTTCCTACACTTGAGTGCATCGATTGACATTGCTTAATTAGGTCCATATAACGTTCCCTGCAATATGTTCATAGTTAATTTATTTGCAATTAGTAGATTGTATGATAGAAAGAAACATGAAAATGTTGCACATCCACTTACAGTCACTTCCATAAGAACCATTAATACGTCAAGCAAATACTAAAACGTAAGTTTAAAGCTGCCAATACGAGGCCACAGCTTGCCATGGAATAATTATTTCAAAAAAGCTTACTGACAAAAGTAATTTTAGTTCTATTTGCTCCTATTCTCTACTTCTTTTGTGTTGTTCTTTACCAAAAAGTTTGTTAATGGGAGTGGTAATGGACTTTGAAATGTTTATCCCTGCTGCTAAATTACTGAAGATATACCATGGCCCTGGATGCAAAATCTAGACAAGTCTGGCGAATTTTAAAAGCTTTCTTATTTTCACAAGATATCCAGATTTTAAATTTTTCACAGGTAAATATACTTTCTCTAGGATGTTTTCTCTTTTGGTCCCTTTATAATTCAGACCTTAATAAAGATATAAAAGCTACAAAATTTCCATATATAAGAAGTATACATCATAAACCCAATCAACCAAAAAATTATCTTCATCAACTAGAACCTGATATCTTCTAAGGCCTTGTAAGGGTTTAAGCAGACATACTTCCTAGTAGTCTGGCACAGTTTAAGCACTCATACAATTTTTCATCTTGTAGACACTACAATATTTTCTCTATTTATTTTTCTTGCTAATTCAGACTTTATTAAAGATATAAAAAGCGAGAAATTCCTGCATAAATAAGTATACAAGAAATATCATCTAACAATTATATTCCCAATAATCCAAAATTATCTCTTCATTGACTAGAACCCAATATTTTCTAATTTCTAAAGAGTTTAAACTTCTAACTTCATCTGACTTACAGACACTGAAGACTAAAATCACCTTATTTCACTAAAAATAAAATGTTCTTTCAAAAGCCAATCTACCCCCAACAACAGTCAATTTCTATCTCCAAAATTACTTGATGGAGCCAACTGACTCTGACCAATGGCATATGGACTGACCCTGGATGACTTCAACTACCTCTTCATGGTCAATCAGGAACAATTTTCCAGTAACTTCTGGAAAGTTTGATCTAGAATAATGTAAAACAAAACCATTGCCTCATATTAATCATATTACATTGAAATCTCACTAGGATCAAACAAACAGAGAGTCATGGTAGTTATTATCATCAACAACAATGTTTCCTAGTGAAAGAAACGATTAGGCACTGGAGCAGGCTTTCAAAGACGCAATTTAGAAAAAGAGATCTTAAGTCAGAATATGACCAAAAAAAAAAAATTGCAGGTCCAGATACACCATTAATCATTACACAGGCAGCAGATATCAGAAATGCCGTAAAAAATATGTTTTATGATCCTTATCACATTTATTGCGTTACAAGATGAAACTCAAATATCACCAACAAAATTGGAATAGAAGGGGGAAAAGGAGACATAAGTTCAGATTAACACATAAAAAAAAGAACTATTTCAGTTCTATTTCCAGTGATTCCATTCACATATCATGACCATCAATTTCACCACATCTATGTACTCATACACAATTTTTTTTATCTAATAGAAATGCCGAAGCCTGCTTCTCTATTGTTTCAATTAAGGTTTCATGTCCGCAATAGCTAGGACAAAACTTCAGTAATGAATAATGCGATACCATTAACATATGAACTACATCTACCCACAGCATGATTGGGAAAAAAATATTCAAACAAATCACATCCATGAAATTAGAAAGCAGAGCAGCCAAGACACTTGATAAGCTAACAACAAAAAATGAAGCAGTGACTAAAAAGACCGATACCTCCTGGCAGTCCTCAATTGCCTTCGATATTCAGCAGTGCTGCCCAAAGCATAACAGCCCAAAAGGAATTCCCAGACTTCTGGCCTTATAGATGGATCCACACCCTACCATGCAAATATGAAGCATTTTTGGGGGCTAAAAGGGTTAATTTTTGGCTAAAAAATACTAAGCCCCGTTTGTTTCCCATTAATGTAAGAATGAGAATGAAAAGTATAATCATTACGGCCCCACACAAAATATAGAAAGTCAAATATGATGGCTTGATGTGATGGATAACGGTCATATTTTTTATTTTAATGATCAAATAATGGGAAACAAATGGGGACTAAGAGAACTTAATCTTATTTTTTCCTATCTATCAATATTATATTCAAACTCAGAAAGATACCAAGAATCTAGGCACAAAATTATTATCATTTGATAACCAGCTCACAACATAAGATACTATATAAGAATTAGAAGAATAATCAGCCACATTTTAGTTATCAGTTATGCAAAGATATTTTGTGAAGCTAAAGAAATTCACAGCAGATTATGTGTTCATTCAAGTTTCAATTTCAGCTGAATATAAAAAATGGTTAATAACCTGGAACTTACAAATAACCTCACCGAGAATTGCATTCATTGTGCAAATATTATTACTTTATCCACTCATTTTGAGTTGTAAACGGATCCAGTTTTTGTTTCAGAGGGAGGAATTAGGAGGCTAACAAATAAAAACAGACCCAAAACTTTTGGTCATGCTTTTGGGCTGTCGATAGATTCCCACTTGTGTCTTAAGCTTTTGTGTTTCTTCTCATCTGAAGGTTGCACTGGAACATTTTGATTACTCCAAATGCAGCATATTCTAGCTCAATGTGCTGAGGAAAATGGATCAAATTTGTGCTGCAGAAAGCTGATAATGCTTATCAGGATTAGGCACAAAGATTTTGTATCAGGTAGATATTGAGATAGGTTTGATGAGCTTGTGCTTTGGACAAAATAACAAGTTTTATTCAAAGAAGTCATCTATTGAGTAGGCCAACCATTGGGTTCCAGGAGCAAGTTTAGTGCACCTGTCTTTAACTTCAAGTAAAAACTGGAAGAGCTATAGGTAAACCACCTTCAGTGCTAAGATCTGATGACTCAATTGAATTTAAAATCTTTCCAATTCCACCAATGAACTCCTGAATAAATATTGAGGATTATAGACGTCTTGGCAGTGTTTTTAACTGCTTATAAATTGTGTGTCCTACGAAATATATAGATAATAAGCTGTGGATCCTAGGGGAGAAAACGTAAGTTTGAAAGGCTTAAATAAACCACGAAGACAACCAATGTTTTGACTCATTACCATTATTTCATTTATTCATTTCTATTTTGAGTGTTTAAGACAATATTTCACATAATACGTCTCTTCACACTTAAAAGATTTAGAATCCCAATTACCCTTTCTTTTAACCTAGTAATAATGATAATACAAGAAAGACAAGAAAGAAAATATGAAGCATATGAATGGATACATGCATTTTACCATTACTTTTCAACAAACTATTTACAAGTATTATATTCAGGAACGACGATTATTTTGTTGTCATATATTTGTTCCCAGCTAGTATTGTTATTTACTTGAAAGTTATTACTATCTTCTAGGGTGAAAAAGTTGAATGGTCAAATTATCATTGTGGAGCAATAAAAATCACTTTGAAAATTATATAGGCCTGCAGCATCATGCCTAACATCAATTTCTAGTGATTGTTTTTTAACTAGTTACAGACTTGATACAATCTTAGTTTACTTTAGAGAAGATTAGGTATTTTAAATCCTATATATAATAAAAGGACTATTCGCCCTAGGTTGAAGTCCTAACCTTGGTAAATATGGGGTTTCACTAAATAAAAAGAGAGAACCATGAAGGGATTATTAGAGGACTAAAAGATTAGGGAAACCTTCAAAGAAAAATAGAGAACAAACAGGATGAGATTAGAAGAAAGCTTTGCTTTCCAACCCCGATATTTCAAAATAAGGAAGTTGAGCAAGCAGCTTAGCTTCACTAGTCATATTCCCTCCATGTGTCGAGGGCAAGGGACCATAATCCTCAATGAGTTTTTGAGTTAATGAGCTCTTGAGCTAGAAAGACAAGACTAAGGAAGCCATTAAATGAATTACTGACTCCTTGAAATCAATCCTTGACTCTTAGCTTTGCATGTCTTCCCAAGATGATGAATATTAGAGTTAAGAGTCCTTCAGAGGAAATCCGGAACAATCATCAGTCCTACTTTGAAGTTTGATGTTCGTAATGTCTAATCCAGGTTTCACCACTATAAGATATGGACAATCGTGCATTTGAGATACCAACAGGACTTGAAATATAGGAATGCCAAAATATTGAACCCAAGAAACAATATCAAGGCCACAAGGAGTTAAAGTAGCAATCAAGCATGAATAAGTTCTGAAGCTTAGAATGTTGCGTACCATCACAAGATTCAAGCTTCTAAACTATCCGAAGTTTACATTGAAAAATGGTAAGTTTATGGCGAGATAATAACTGGAATAAAACAATCAAATGTTAAAAACTGCAATAGAAGTGGTTACCCCCAATATAATCAATTTCAAAACTTTTTTGAAATCCATAATTTTCCCTTCATTATCAAAGGTCGCCTGCCACTTTTCTGGTTTAAGCATTTTGCTTATCTGCACATCAAAGAAAAAGCAGAAGAGTGACGTGTAAATTTCTACACAAGTTGCAGAATAAATTCTATTGAAATACACAAAGATAAAGAAAATGAAAGCAAAACTCTATATGACCACTGAAGTCAGATTATATTTATCCAGATTCTGCACCCAATCATATACGTTATTAGCAGGCCTCTGCATCTGCTGAACAGAGTCAGTTACATAGGTAGGAAAACATTTTATAGACCCAAAAGGGCCAAGAGATAAGCTGGAGATCAAGTTTGCAAAGCTAAAAAATCACCAAACGAGGAAAAAAGGGTCCCACTAATATGTTGTTAATCCATCTCAAGAAATCATTTTTCTCGCTATTTTGATTAAAGAATTTCTTGCTCAAGGGTGAAGTTTCATTAAAGGATGGATGGGCCACATCCCCCTCTCCTGTCAGTGGGGAGTGGGGGAAGCACTTGCTGTTGGTGCTATGGTTTTCTACTATTCTTTAGTGACTTCTATAAGACGTTTTTTAATTACATACTAAAATTTTACGCTAACCAAATGTATTACAATGCAAATACTATTTCCCTATTATATATGCCCCCCAAATCTCTCCCTTCTTTGGAATGTCAAGTGTCCCCCTAATTTTTTTGGATCAAAGAGATTGTTATGCTCAATTACTATATTCATTACTGAAGTAATGAATATTGCATATTTGCTTACAAGAGATAATGTGTATCCATGGTTTTACAGATCATGAAACTAAAGTTCACTATATTACGGTCGGCATAAGAGTGAATAGCCCATATTTATTTCTGGCCATGATAAAAAAAAAATCTGGGTCAGAAAAGCTTAATTTATCCAGCTGTAAATTTGTCCTCAGGAAAAACTCCAAGTCTATTGACCTAATAGCTTCTTCAAATGAACACTGATAATTGATTAATAAGCTAGAGGACACTGTTAATAAACTTCACTTCTTTTCCAGTTATAATCCTTCTTACCACAACTACACCTTGCAGAGGTAGCAACTTTGCTCCCCTCAAGCACGTCCATGCATGAGAGAGAGAGAGAGAGAGAAACGAAATTTCCTTCAATCGTAAAAATGAATAAGGGAACAAGGGAGAACATCAGTGTAACTTTTCAGAGCATCTAGCTGAGTCCTCATACTTGATGAAGTCCGAGAAATACAAAGATAGTGGTCATGTTAGCAACTAAATGTCATGATTCAATAGTTGTTTTCCAGAATTTGGAAATCAGTGTTCCTATGATTTAATGGGACCAAGATTATATCCTTATCGGTCAGAATCTTTATACCACCAAAAGATATAACCAGCTTAAAGCACTGAGTAAAAAATAAAATAAAAATAGTTAAATGCTAAAAACTTGATAAGCCCCCAATAAAACACACTTATTCTAGAAGGAACAAGAATGAAGAAGGGGGAGGCAGTAACAAATTCTGATAGAGAGGGCAGGCAAAATTGGTTACGAGAAGACTATAAATAGAAACAGAATGAGGGAGGATTGAGAGGAAAAATTATTGAGTAAAAACGTACTGTGGAGAGTGCAGTCCTCTCCAATGGCTGGTTGTTAATTTCCTTTCAGTAATCCTTTGTTTAATCAATATAGATTTCATTTCTGTTCCCATATTGTGTTCTTCTTTGCTACAGTTAGAATTTATCAGTCTTTTGATGTAGATTCTATCAATCTGGTATCAGAGCATTCATTTAATCAACCATGACCCTTTCAAATCGAGCGGGAGAGTTTAAACAAAGAATGGAGAACGGGCACCAAGAACTCCATGCTGGGCTAGAATCACTAATATTGGAATTCAAATTGATGCAGGCAGGGATGATGAAAAAGCTTGATTCGTTGATGTGATCTCGGGATAATCAAGAAACGGAACGAAAAGAGAAGGGCTAGCAACGGAGAAATCACCAGTGGCTTCTATTGATTCGGGGTTAACTCAACTTACAGAGGAAGAGAAAGTGGAGGTCACCACCATGTGCTTCGATGGAGAGGCGTTGACCTGGTTCAAACGGGAGGAATGACGCCGGCCTATGAAGAATTGGGAAGAGGTGAAAGTTCAGTTACTGCGATGGTTTCGATCATCACAGGAAGGATCCCTTTGTGCCCCATTCCTATGTCTCCGACACAGTCCCACCATAAGAGAATACCGCCAGCGGTTTTTGACTGAGGTATCCGAAGAGATTCTTAAGTGCAATTTCCTCAATAGCCTTAAACCAGAGATCAGAGCTGAGGTCCAATTACTGAGACCAATGGACCTGGAACATATTATACGCTTCAATCATCAACCACAACCATTTAGTAGACATTGGAGCAATGCCAACTAACCATCAGGAGAAAAAGGAAAATATGGAAGATATCAAAACAAAAACAAGTTCCAATTTCATTCTGGCCAAACTGAAAATTCTTGGGTAGAAAAACTGAAAATGGTTATAAACTAACACCATTTATCCATCTCTCTAATTAGTGCTTTTTCCTAATAATACTGCAGCTACAACATTAGAAGGTTTTGTTGGGATATAAGTATTACTGGAACCAGGAAGATATGTAAAAAAGACACCAAGCTTGCTTGAATGATATTAGAGGTCAGGGAAGTGACAAGAAAGAGAAGATGGTAGCAATGTTTTCTTCAGGTGGTCTTTATGGTGGTCAAGAGCCACTAGAGGACAAGAGATGGTGGCACCATGAGTTAAGTATCAGTTATTAAAAATTATGTAAGGAAAATGCTGGTAGAAAATGGTATGGCCACAGTATAGGGACAGGGAAGTTGAACATAATTGGAGTTGAAGAACGTCAAAATGAGAATGGAAGCAGGCCTGAAGATTTAATAAAGCTGTTCACAAGATTTACATCAAGCTTGTTAGTAAGGTTATGGTATTATTGGAAAATGCTAACCATTTTCTTGGGCCATCTTTGAGCTTTTTAAAGCTGATCACGAGATTTACATCAAGCTTGTTAGTGAGGTTATGGTATTATTGGGAAAATGCTAACCATTTTCTTGAGCCATCTTTGAGCTTTCCTACAAAGAAAATATAAAAAAGAAGAGAGGATGGGTTATTCACTTTTCTTTTCATTTAATGGTCTGAAAGCTAATGCAGTATAATTCTAAAGATTCCCCCGAGAAAAATTAAACTCTCCAATGTACCCGCAATACGTGGAAGAATCAACGTAATTCCATAGAGTCATTAGGTCTGAATATTACATGAAGAAAACATTTAGAACCTGTTTGACCCCCATTTTCAAAAACTCATTTTTTCTTTCAAACTCATTTTTAACTACAAATTTCACGAGACCAACAACTTTTATCAACTTCTGGATCACATATTTTGTCAACTTTTATCAAAATCTACTAAAAATTTGACTTTTAGTTGAACTAAATAGGGGCTAAAACAAGCATGACTTTTTCTTCTGTATCTGAAGCTCCGAAAAGAAATAAATAAATAAAAATTACTTGCATGATTCTGAAACCAGAAGTGAGCAAATATGAATATATTGCGATCATCAGAACATTAATGCATCAATGTGATTAGTAGCAACCAATATCTATATCGACCTATTTGAGAGAGGAACACATGTATGTCATTTAAATCTTATCTTCAATATTACCATCGCACGTCAAGTATTTAATTGGATTATGGTCCTCTAGTCTTCTAGATTCATGTATTTGCATAATGGAATACTAACATATTCAACAGGAAAACGACTAGGTACAAACCTCCCACATACGAAGGGCATCACTGAAAGACAATTCTCGGCGGAAGAGTACAAGCAACATGCGGAAGGCAAAATGAAGGCTCTCAGCACCTATCTGGGACAAGTGAGAAAACATTTCCCTATCTGTAAGTTCTAATATGTGCCAGAGTGTCTGCAACTGTTTCATTACACCAGTTGGTCCTTCCATCTGAAAGTTTTCGCGCTGTAAAGCTGGAAAGTTAATACAGGTTAAAGGACAGTTCAACAAAAATCTTGAGATATAAATACCATTCGCCTTAGAAGCATCTCGAAGCACCAAAATGCATCAGCATTGTCCTCAAAAAGAACAACAAAGGGGGAAAGTAGATCACTCATGCCTACAAATTATACAGAAGATGATGTCAAAACCAAATAACTGTTCACCTAAATCCTTGTGCAGTTCCAATAATCACATGAAAGTTTCGATGAGGCACAACCTTGGCAATATCCTGTTGCAGGATCAACCCACGCATAGACAGCAAGAATATCTGACATACGAGCCAAATTTTTTTTGTCCTCGTAAAATTCGAGATGATTGTCTGTTCTAACTACATCAACAACTGGAAAACAAAAAAGTGATTTACACCCCAGTAAATGGTAATGAAAGAATTTTAGGCTGAATGGAAGGAGTGTTTGGTAAAAATTGATATGGAAACCAAGTTACATGTTTACCTATTTGGTGCAGTGTCCAAAGCCATTCAGACACTCTGTCTCCTTTGGCAGCCCCTCCACGAGATGTGATTGCATTATTGGCTGATATTTCAGGTGCATCTGATATTCTAAGCCTATTAAACATTTCTGATTCAAATCCCAGATTATTTGACGGCGAAAGTGATTCATGCACATCCGGGTGAATCATTTCACTTTCAGAGTTGGGAGGTGGTGAGTCATCATTAAATGGGGTACCATTTGACTCGACAACTAGATCTGCATTGCTGTCAATTTGAAAACTGTGCATATGCTCATCCCCAAATTTCAATTTACGTTGTGTCAAATGCGTATCATCACAAAACCTAGGTTCTTTTTGATTTTTGTCACTCTTTTCAAACAAATTTGTAAAAGGTAAAGTAGGGGAGTCCAAATAGCTTTCAGTTACATATTGTGATCCATCAGCTTCAAGCTCAATCGGAGACGTGCAGTTGTGAGAACCAGAAGAAGGTTCAAGACCAGAGTAATCATATGCTCCTTCCTTGCTTTCTCTTATACTTGCAAAATCATCAGAGTCACCAGAGCTTTGCCTTCTACATATATGTGATTTTTCTATACAGTTGTCGTCCAAAACACAGTTATTATTAACTACGTTGTTAGCATTGGCTTCAGGTATATGTCCACTTTGGTCTTCATTTTCCCTTATCCCATCATCTTTGGAACTCATTCTCATATCCATGACTTTAGAACCTACAACATAGGCAAGGGAACCAGTTCCTACACTTGAGTGCATCGATTGACATTGCTTAATTAGGTCCATATAACGTTCCCTGCAATATGTTCATAGTTAATTTATTTGCAATTAGTAGATTGTATGATAGAAAGAAACATGAAAATGTTGCACATCCACTTACAGTCACTTCCATAAGAACCATTAATACGTCAAGCAAATACTAAAACGTAAGTTTAAAGCTGCCAATACGAGGCCACAGCTTGCCATGGAATAATTATTTCAAAAAAGCTTACTGACAAAAGTAATTTTAGTTCTATTTGCTCCTATTCTCTACTTCTTTTGTGTTGTTCTTTACCAAAAAGTTTGTTAATGGGAGTGGTAATGGACTTTGAAATGTTTATCCCTGCTGCTAAATTACTGAAGATATACCATGGCCCTGGATGCAAAATCTAGACAAGTCTGGCGAATTTTAAAAGCTTTCTTATTTTCACAAGATATCCAGATTTTAAATTTTTCACAGGTAAATATACTTTCTCTAGGATGTTTTCTCTTTTGGTCCCTTTATAATTCAGACCTTAATAAAGATATAAAAGCTACAAAATTTCCATATATAAGAAGTATACATCATAAACCCAATCAACCAAAAAATTATCTTCATCAACTAGAACCTGATATCTTCTAAGGCCTTGTAAGGGTTTAAGCAGACATACTTCCTAGTAGTCTGGCACAGTTTAAGCACTCATACAATTTTTCATCTTGTAGACACTACAATATTTTCTCTATTTATTTTTCTTGCTAATTCAGACTTTATTAAAGATATAAAAAGCGAGAAATTCCTGCATAAATAAGTATACAAGAAATATCATCTAACAATTATATTCCCAATAATCCAAAATTATCTCTTCATTGACTAGAACCCAATATTTTCTAATTTCTAAAGAGTTTAAACTTCTAACTTCATCTGACTTACAGACACTGAAGACTAAAATCACCTTATTTCACTAAAAATAAAATGTTCTTTCAAAAGCCAATCTACCCCCAACAACAGTCAATTTCTATCTCCAAAATTACTTGATGGAGCCAACTGACTCTGACCAATGGCATATGGACTGACCCTGGATGACTTCAACTACCTCTTCATGGTCAATCAGGAACAATTTTCCAGTAACTTCTGGAAAGTTTGATCTAGAATAATGTAAAACAAAACCATTGCCTCATATTAATCATATTACATTGAAATCTCACTAGGATCAAACAAACAGAGAGTCATGGTAGTTATTATCATCAACAACAATGTTTCCAAGTAAAAGAAACAATTAGGCACTGGAGCAGGCTTTCAAAGACGCAATTTAGAAAAAGAGATCTTAAGTCAGAATATGACCAAAAAAAAAAAAAATTGCAGGTCCAGATACACCATTAATCATTACACAGGCAGCAGATATCAGAAATGCCGTAAAAAATATGTTTTATGATCCTTATCACATTTATTGCGTTACAAGATGAAACTCAAATATCACCAACAAAATTGGAATAGAAGGGGGAAAAGGAGACATAAGTTCAGATTAACACATAAAAAAAGAACTATTTCAGTTCTATTTCCAGTGATTCCATTCACATATCATGACCATCAATTTCACCACATCTATGTACTCATACACAATTTTTTTTATCTAATAGAAATGCCGAAGCCTGCTTCTCTATTGTTTCAATTAAGGTTTCATGTCCGCAATAGCTAGGACAAAACTTCAGTAATGAATAATGCGATACCATTAACATATGAACTACATCTACCCACAGCATGATTGGGAAAAAAATATTCAAACAAATCACATCCATGAAATTAGAAAGCAGAGCAGCCAAGACACTTGATAAGCTAACAACAAAAAATGAAGCAGTGACTAAAAAGACCGATACCTCCTGGCAGTCCTCAATTGCCTTCGATATTCAGCAGTGCTGCCCAAAGCATAACAGCCCAAAAGGAATTCCCAGACTTCTGGCCTTATAGATGGATCCACACCCTACCATGCAAATATGAAGCATTTTTGGGGGCTAAAAGGGTTAATTTTTGGCTAAAAAATACTAAGCCCCGTTTGTTTCCCATTAATGTAAGAATGAGAATGAAAAGTATAATCATTACGGCCCCACACAAAATATAGAAAGTCAAATATGATGGCTTGATGTGATGGATAACGGTCATATTTTTTATTTTAATGATCAAATAATGGGAAACAAATGGGGACTAAGAGAACTTAATCTTATTTTTTCCTATCTATCAATATTATATTCAAACTCAGAAAGATACCAAGAATCTAGGCACAAAATTATTATCATTTGATAACCAGCTCACAACATAAGATACTATATAAGAATTAGAAGAATAATCAGCCACATTTTAGTTATCAGTTATGCAAAGATATTTTGTGAAGCTAAAGAAATTCACAGCAGATTATGTGTTCATTCAAGTTTCAATTTCAGCTGAATATAAAAAATGGTTAATAACCTGGAACTTACAAATAACCTCACCGAGAATTGCATTCATTGTGCAAATATTATTACTTTATCCACTCATTTTGAGTTGTAAACGGATCCAGTTTTTGTTTCAGAGGGAGGAATTAGGAGGCTAACAAATAAAAACAGACCCAAAACTTTTGGTCATGCTTTTGGGCTGTCGATAGATTCCCACTTGTGTCTTAAGCTTTTGTGTTTCTTCTCATCTGAAGGTTGCACTGGAACATTTTGATTACTCCAAATGCAGCATATTCTAGCTCAATGTGCTGAGGAAAATGGATCAAATTTGTGCTGCAGAAAGCTGATAATGCTTATCAGGATTAGGCACAAAGATTTTGTATCAGGTAGATATTGAGATAGGTTTGATGAGCTTGTGCTTTGGACAAAATAACAAGTTTTATTCAAAGAAGTCATCTATTGAGTAGGCCAACCATTGGGTTCCAGGAGCAAGTTTAGTGCACCTGTCTTTAACTTCAAGTAAAAACTGGAAGAGCTATAGGTAAACCACCTTCAGTGCTAAGATCTGATGACTCAATTGAATTTAAAATCTTTCCAATTCCACCAATGAACTCCTGAATAAATATTGAGGATTATAGACGTCTTGGCAGTGTTTTTAACTGCTTATAAATTGTGTGTCCTACGAAATATATAGATAATAAGCTGTGGATCCTAGGGGAGAAAACGTAAGTTTGAAAGGCTTAAATAAACCACGAAGACAACCAATGTTTTGACTCATTACCATTATTTCATTTATTCATTTCTATTTTGAGTGTTTAAGACAATATTTCACATAATACGTCTCTTCACACTTAAAAGATTTAGAATCCCAATTACCCTTTCTTTTAACCTAGTAATAATGATAATACAAGAAAGACAAGAAAGAAAATATGAAGCATATGAATGGATACATGCATTTTACCATTACTTTTCAACAAACTATTTACAAGTATTATATTCAGGAACGACGATTATTTTGTTGTCATATATTTGTTCCCAGCTAGTATTGTTATTTACTTGAAAGTTATTACTATCTTCTAGGGTGAAAAAGTTGAATGGTCAAATTATCATTGTGGAGCAATAAAAATCACTTTGAAAATTATATAGGCCTGCAGCATCATGCCTAACATCAATTTCTAGTGATTGTTTTTTAACTAGTTACAGACTTGATACAATCTTAGTTTACTTTAGAGAAGATTAGGTATTTTAAATCCTATATATAATAAAAGGACTATTCGCCCTAGGTTGAAGTCCTAACCTTGGTAAATATGGGGTTTCACTAAATAAAAAGAGAGAACCATGAAGGGATTATTAGAGGACTAAAAGATTAGGGAAACCTTCAAAGAAAAATAGAGAACAAACAGGATGAGATTAGAAGAAAGCTTTGCTTTCCAACCCCGATATTTCAAAATAAGGAAGTTGAGCAAGCAGCTTAGCTTCACTAGTCATATTCCCTCCATGTGTCGAGGGCAAGGGACCATAATCCTCAATGAGTTTTTGAGTTAATGAGCTCTTGAGCTAGAAAGACAAGACTAAGGAAGCCATTAAATGAATTACTGACTCCTTGAAATCAATCCTTGACTCTTAGCTTTGCATGTCTTCCCAAGATGATGAATATTAGAGTTAAGAGTCCTTCAGAGGAAATCCGGAACAATCATCAGTCCTACTTTGAAGTTTGATGTTCGTAATGTCTAATCCAGGTTTCACCACTATAAGATATGGACAATCGTGCATTTGAGATACCAACAGGACTTGAAATATAGGAATGCCAAAATATTGAACCCAAGAAACAATATCAAGGCCACAAGGAGTTAAAGTAGCAATCAAGCATGAATAAGTTCTGAAGCTTAGAATGTTGCGTACCATCACAAGATTCAAGCTTCTAAACTATCCGAAGTTTACATTGAAAAATGGTAAGTTTATGGCGAGATAATAACTGGAATAAAACAATCAAATGTTAAAAACTGCAATAGAAGTGGTTACCCCCAATATAATCAATTTCAAAACTTTTTTGAAATCCATAATTTTCCCTTCATTATCAAAGGTCGCCTGCCACTTTTCTGGTTTAAGCATTTTGCTTATCTGCACATCAAAGAAAAAGCAGAAGAGTGACGTGTAAATTTCTACACAAGTTGCAGAATAAATTCTATTGAAATACACAAAGATAAAGAAAATGAAAGCAAAACTCTATATGACCACTGAAGTCAGATTATATTTATCCAGATTCTGCACCCAATCATATACGTTATTAGCAGGCCTCTGCATCTGCTGAACAGAGTCAGTTACATAGGTAGGAAAACATTTTATAGACCCAAAAGGGCCAAGAGATAAGCTGGAGATCAAGTTTGCAAAGCTAAAAAATCACCAAACGAGGAAAAAAGGGTCCCACTAATATGTTGTTAATCCATCTCAAGAAATCATTTTTCTCGCTATTTTGATTAAAGAATTTCTTGCTCAAGGGTGAAGTTTCATTAAAGGATGGATGGGCCACATCCCCCTCTCCTGTCAGTGGGGAGTGGGGGAAGCACTTGCTGTTGGTGCTATGGTTTTCTACTATTCTTTAGTGACTTCTATAAGACGTTTTTTAATTACATACTAAAATTTTACGCTAACCAAATGTATTACAATGCAAATACTATTTCCCTATTATATATGCCCCCCAAATCTCTCCCTTCTTTGGAATGTCAAGTGTCCCCCTAATTTTTTTGGATCAAAGAGATTGTTATGCTCAATTACTATATTCATTACTGAAGTAATGAATATTGCATATTTGCTTACAAGAGATAATGTGTATCCATGGTTTTACAGATCATGAAACTAAAGTTCACTATATTACGGTCGGCATAAGAGTGAATAGCCCATATTTATTTCTGGCCATGATAAAAAAAAAATCTGGGTCAGAAAAGCTTAATTTATCCAGCTGTAAATTTGTCCTCAGGAAAAACTCCAAGTCTATTGACCTAATAGCTTCTTCAAATGAACACTGATAATTGATTAATAAGCTAGAGGACACTGTTAATAAACTTCACTTCTTTTCCAGTTATAATCCTTCTTACCACAACTACACCTTGCAGAGGTAGCAACTTTGCTCCCCTCAAGCACGTCCATGACTTTTGATAGCAATCCGTCCAGGTTTTCTTTCTGATGCAAACTGATTTCTTAACTGATACTTTTGGCAGCAAAATCATCATTTGTCTACTGGTTTTGAAATTTATTAAAATATTCGCTATTTGTGGAATATATTTCATTTTGCTCTCTGCTGAAAAATGTTGAATGTCTGGTATATATAGGATATATTTCATTGACTATTCTTTTAACTGACATGAAGTGGGAAGAGGATGAAGCTCAGTTTTATAAATTGTTCCTCATTTTAATTTCACTGTTTTTCCTATACCCAAATATCCTCCAATGTCTACATATTCTTTTAACATAAAAGATGGTGATTTAGCAGTCTTTATAAATTTCAGTTTTTTAGTTGTTCTACATTCAATTTTGTAGTATTTCTTCTCAGAATTCATTCTAATTGAAAGTCCAATCAAATGTTTTACAATAATTTTTCTGAAGGATTCTAACTCATCATATAAAATTCATATTTAGTTTTATTGGTTTTCTTTTAGTTTTCCATGACTTTGCTATTATTGTTTTTACTTAAATATATAGTATTTTTCTAATAAGTTAAAAGTATCTCATTCTAGTTTCATACTTGTACACGGTAGTCAATATTTGAAACATGGGAGTTTCTTTTAATCGAAAGAAACGTTCTGTAACATCTTTGAAAAATGTTGCACTTTCTCTTCCAAAAGTAAGGATATTTTGACAGGCTCTTCAATTATCAGAAGGTATAAGATGGCTACCTTATGCATTTGTAATCATTGACGAATTTTATCTTTTAGAAAACCGCACGGTGCAACAGAAGTAGCACTTTAGGGGATTTCTATTGCACGTTTTGGTACTTTTGGTTGTCTTTTATATTTTGTCTTTTAAGTTAATGTATTTTGTTATACATATATGAATGTTGAAGTCCTCACTATGACTCCATTTTTTATTTTCATTTTTCTCGTACTTCGAAGGTCTCTTAACAAAAATTTTACCAGCAACTCTGACTAATAATCCTAGATGAGCCCCTGGTTCCAGGTAAATATTCAATGGAATAATGAAAATAGAAGAGTATTAGAGAGTCTTACACTAAATAATAAGATTACCATCTCTACTTAACAAACAACAAATCTATTTATAAGCTTCATTTAAAAACAAGATTCAATTAAAAATATGACCAGAAATCTAAAGAAGTATAGAGCCTTACAGCTATCACAACCTTTATAGGTGATTGATGAAGACAAGGCTCCCCAATATCGCGAACAATTGAACTGACTTTCTGAAAATTCACAGCACCTCCCTTTCCGCATTTCCATTGTTTCTCGTCTCCGTCAAAAGACATCACCTAAACCTCTACCGCAATCTTTCTCTATATATTGCTAAATCCTCAGCTTCTCAGTCCCTATTAACAATTACGATCAATTAATTAATTAACAAATTCCTAAATAAACCCAAACCCAAACCCAAACTAATAAAATCTTGGAAAATAAAATTAAAAATGAAAATATAAAGACATAGAAAAAACAAAAAAATACACCCATGTTTCCCAGAAAATGAAGCCCGGTCATGGTCTATTTTTTATTAACAAGAAATCAGATCTAACATTCAAATTTCAAATAAAAACTTAATGAATTCAACTTTGATCACTTGCCCATTAAAAATGGAAAATATGATAACGATAATGATATTACAATAATCTGCACAAAATCCATTTCAAACAAACAATATACATTATAGAGAGACGATGGATATGGAAGAAATAGGGGTCTACCTGAAGGGTAGAATGAGAAAATCAAAAAGGTCTCTGAATAACAGCGATCAGAGGGTCTATTAAGAACTTGGACGCCATTAACAGAGAAAGACCGTTTCATGCTTTTACATTTTTTATTTTACAATTATTTTTTTTCAAAATTTTGCCGGTTTTTTATTATTTCCCTGTTGGTCGGTCTATACTACGTGGAGTTTGGTGGGTGTCAGGGACCGGTCTGGACCCGCTGATTTATCAAACAGTCTGGAGGCCTGGCAGTGGCACTAGTACGGACGTGTAACTGAACCGGTCTACAATAGAATCCGTCATAACCCGTTTCAAATTGGACGATTTTGTACCCTATTAGCGTTCTGTTTTCAATGAGACCTTGCCTAGAGTAACATGCATAAATATTGACATACAAGTTAGATATGGTGCGGAGTTGAATTGGAGTTGGGATAGTGATTCAAGATGAATGGCAGTGATTACGACGATAACGACGGTATAATTGAAGAGAATTTTGAAAACTTATTGACAGAATCAATAGCTCTCCTCGAGGAATTCCGTATAGCCGACAAATGTCCATCTAGGTTAATTGTGATTCTCAAACTTATGACATGGTTAACTTTATGCCATGTGCAAAAGTCCTTTAAAACCATTTTGATGTTCTAGCGCTACGTGTCAATATGAATTGTGACGCTTGCAATTATGTCCTTAGATATGGGAATAAATTGGTCGAAGAACTTACGTCTTTTAATAAAATGATCAACGAACTCGCTTTTTAACAATGTGACACACAAGTGGTGTCTTTTCCTTTTCATATTAATGATGTAATTAATTGGATTCCTCTTTATTTCGATTAGGAGGAGATCAAAATAATTACATTATTTATTTTAAGTTTATCATTCAACAAAGATGTATTTTCAACAATGTTTTTATTAAGGGCATGTTTGACATGACTTTTAAAATGTAAAATGAAGTCTTTGAAACTCAAAAATTATTATTAGGCTCATTTGACTAGTTTTATGAAAGTATTTCTTTTAGTTATAAGAACTTTTGGAGTAAATTGGTTCAATGTAGCTTCTTTTAAAAGTACTTTTGAAATAAAAATCTCTTTTAAAAATTGAGTTTTAAACAAAAATTTGGTAGCTTCCTCCAAAAGTTTTTATAAAGAAAGCAAAAGCAAAAAACCTATGTTAAACGAGCCTAACACAATATGGCTTCTTCTTCCTCGTTTTATTCTCTCTCTTTTTTTCTTTTTTTGTTTAATAGAAAAAACCATGATCGTATATTGTGAAGTTAACAATTTTCAATACCCTATTCTTTTAATTATATATTAGTGTAAATAACACAAGTTGGTTTGAAATTCACACATAAAATTTATTGTGAATTGTTTTGAATTTTAAAATTATTTCTTAGATGGTATTTGTTGATCTGACTATTTATTACTTTTAAAAGGTTGAATTTTTATATTTAGATGACAAAACTTTCAGAATATGTAGCGTTGTGAATTACTTAGAAACTAATTGAATGCTAATTTTATATTTTTTTCAGTCAAGTTTGAATTTGAGAATAGCGTATTATTAGGTAATCATTAGATTAATTAATTTATTAAAAAAACTTTGTTTCTATTAAAAATTTCTTACCAAACCAGAAAAAATAAAATAAATATATATTTTCTGCTAAATTATGTTTTTACCTTCGTGCTATTTGCGTCTATTTCTGCCATAAGGCCGGCTAAAACATGGGTGTGCATAGAAGCCAACCCGGGCCTTAAATGAAGGATTCGTAATCGTCACCATGGCTTGGCCCAACACTATTAAAGACCATCGATTAACATAAGCTTGGTTTAGTATTGCCCAAATCTGGATTTATGTATAGGTGTTAGGAATGGACAAAATAATCAAACTAAATCGAACCGAACTATTTGGTTTTAGAATCAAGAGCCAAACTCAATTTTTAATTATTTCTGGTTCTTTTACAAATTATTGAATTAAAATTCACACTAAAAAAACTTAAAATTCAATTGAAAATTAGGACTAAAAGGTCGTGTTACCTTCAATTTTTTATCTCTCAATGTGGAGATTAGAGACCCTAATTCATTTTGGATACTCGGATTCTAATTCATTTCTTTTTTTTTTTCCTTCTTCTTTTTAATTTATATACCGACTCTCGTAAGGATACCAATTGTTGCCTTCCGTCTACCATCACGCTCAGTCACCATCGCCCTAGAATTTTTGAAATTGAAGCATCAACCTTCTTCTTTTTCCTCAAATGTTCTTTCTCTTTTTTCTCAGTCAGTAATGTAATTAGAAGCAAATTAAACCAAGCCAGAACCAAATGGTTCGATTTTGGATTGATTCCATATCGTAGTTAAAAAAAAAAGGATTGAATGTATTATTTTTTAAAATTATGTTTAAAAAAAAGTTATTTTATGCCTCTAAACAAATTTGTTTGATAGAAACCTTCATAAGATATAAGATGTGTTAATTAACAAGATGTTAAAAATAATAATGTCATTTGTACAATCTTGGTTGACAACTTTATACTTGGCAGTATCACATTCATCTATTTTTAAAAAAAGATTAAAAACTATTTTTTAAATCAACAACCCAGATTTTGAAAACATCAAAATTGTCAACAATGATTGTATAAATAGCTTAATTCGTATAAAAAATAATGTTGAGGGTATAAGGGTTACAATAAGCAAAGATTGACGACCTTAAATGAAAATAAAATGTGGTGTTACAAATAAAAATATATTGTGAAATATAACTACCGTTAAATGCATCATATTTTAATTTGCATTAAATGTCCTTAACATTTCTTTAATGTCAAGTTCATATTTTTAACTTTTTTGTTCCATCTTATCATTTATTCTTTCATTAATCAGTACATCTTGCCTTAAACGACGACTTTTGTCCAAAAATTTTATTATCGTTCTTAAACATGAGAGACAAATATTTAATCGCAATTTTATATTTTTTTTTTTTTTTCCTTTTTTAAAATGTGATGAGCAAATAAGTCCTTTATCCTTTCTTAATGAAATTTTGGGACAAAATCTGTCATTAGAGACAATTTGTTTAATTAATGAAATATTTGGGATAACAATGTGATGAAAAAAATATAAATTACGCTCGAGTTCTCTTTATGTAAACATGGGGACTTTATTTGCTATTCTATAAATTAATGTACCATTTCTTTTCTTTTTTTATCTAACTTATTGTATCAAAGACGAATTGGGAGGCAGCTGGGTAGCAAGCACGTTAATAAGATAAGAATAATTCCTCTTGAACAAGCGCAAAAACATAATTGTAGGGAACAGACTGATGTGTGAATTAATGATTCGGTGTTATGTGTTTTTTCTATTTTTTTAACTTTCCAATCTCGAGTCGACACGTATCTCCCTTGATTTTGAATCTGTCTCCAAGCCTATTTATATAGCATGTTTGAAAAGATAAATCACCATGAATTTGATCATTGACGTGGATAGATAATACATTATTTTTACAATATTAAACTGAATTAAACAATACGATGAACAAAATTTTAAGATTCTTATATTTTTATATTATCTAATCATGTTTAATCTTTCTTATTAGATATGTAAAATGGGTTACAATCAATCGGGTCCTTATTATGAACAAAATATCTTTGATTAGCAAAACTAAACTTTAATTAGAGTTGAACTTATTTGTGAAAGATTCAATTAGTAAGACTTTGAATAATTAAATGAAGTTATGGTATTGACGTGATTAATTTATAGATATATTATTTTCTAAAATGTCTTCGTATAAACTAACTCCAGTAAGGGAATTATTTTGAATTGAAATCTAACTAAAAGTACGATGGACAATGTTGCACTGTCAGAGTAGAGGTTAACAGGCTCCTCACAAACATAGGGTGGGTGGACATTTTTGGGGTATTTTTTTTTAATGAGGTGAATCCTACATCGTGTGTGAGGCCTTGTACTGGCCTTGTGAAATATGCTCTATACACCCAGCTTTATCCAAGTAAAACGGCACTCACTGACATCTTGGTTTTGTATGCAAAATGGTCAACCATAATTAGTTAATATAAGAAATTATGTATGTGTAACATGTTGAGTTAGTCCAATTTTCGCGTTCTATGTAGATGGTAATAGTAAAATTTAAAGTAGGGGGCAACCCCAGCCAAGTTGGTGGGGCAGTTGGACTAACAATCATGAGGTTGCTAGCTCGATTCCCGTTAGAGCTGTCTATTGGCCTTCTTGGTTTGAGCCGGTCAGCTATGGGTAACCTAGGCTGCTTTACCTCCTTGGGTCCTTTGCCGGCTAAGATCACAAGGCGGGGTTTACCTAGTGTGCACCTTCGGGTAGCGGCTGCGGGTTCCCTTGTCAACAAAAAAAAAAAAAAAAAAAATTTAAAGCATGTCCATCCACGTTTAAAAGACCATATTTTCTTAGTTTTTTGTCACATTCTAATTGTTTGGTTCCACTTTAAAAAGTTAGCTTTATTTAACGTTTATGGATAGTATGCACTTGCTTATCATCAAAAAGTCAAAAAAATAAATTGGAATAGACGATTTTTTTCTAGAAAAGCTAGTAAAATTTATATTTTATGTAGAGTCAAAAATGTCAGTTGCAAGCAACTACTTTTGGAGAAATCCTGATAGATTTGTACTGCCCAAAAAAGTCAAATATATTGACATATAAAACAAATAAATATGTTATAAATTACAAGCATATATTGCTTTAAAAAAATCAAAAAAAAAATTTAATTAATTAATTTATGCCCATAAATTGACCAAATTCGTAATCAAATAAAAATTTAAAATCTATAGCAAGTTTAGTTAGTAATTCTAAAAAGATTAATCTTTTAATAAATTTAATTATGAGCAGAAAATTGTCAATAGATAAACTGAGTAATGAAAACTTCATGACCGGAAATTACATAGGTAAAGAATAATAACTAATATGCCTAAAAGACTATAAATAAAAAATATAAAAGACATCATAAATTATCGATAACATATTAAAAAAATATAAAAAGTAAATAACTAATAAACTTCTATCAAGTATATCGACAATTTCTTCATAAGCTAAATAAAACAAATATGCCGTTAATAACTAATAACACCGTCAACGACATTGTCATTGATAATCACTAACTATTATTGTTACTGATGACTCAGATCAA